TTAGAGAGCTCGAGCTTCATAATGGCCGGTTGGTTGTGTTCATCTGGGTCTGTGGTGATTTACCTCGTAACTTGTCTAATGGCACTCCATTTCTCAAGAAGGCTCCAAATACTTACGGAAGATGGTCACCTTTCGCGTTTGGAAGCTGGTAGGTACGCAACTAAATGAGAGTAAACTGTTCTTCCTTCTGACAAGACAAGCCGCGTCTCGAGCCGGGATCGAAGATGGCGGCAAGTTTAAAATTTCTTCTTTCCACACGGCTTATTGATGTCACCTTAGCCGCAAGCTTAATTGTCCTGGCAAAAGATGTATCACCGGCGCGCTATTTACATTTTTCGCGTTTTTAACATTCACATGTAACGTAAGCCCTGACACGTAGTTTNAAACACAACAAACACGCAAGGAATGAATAAGTTTCATTAATCTAACGTGTAAAATGTTCATATTTCGGAATATTTAGTTTTTTAAAAGGACCATATTTTGTTTTCCATACTGTTCCTTGTAACGCATTCAAATTCTCAACGGTTGCTCGCGTAACATAACGCTGCGTTAGACAACGCGTGGCGCTTTCAAGAAATAATCGTTCGCTTTTGCTCGAGACGTGAACTTGGGACGCCTGTGCTTTCTCTGGTGGGGTTTTTTACGAAAATAGAAAGTTACGTGATCACTTCACTTCCACTGCCGCCATATTGAATTATCTGTAATACGATATACCTCTGACATTTCAGAACAGGCTGGAAATGTCCCCGATTTCTGGTGATGAATTTTGGAATAAATCTTGCTTTTTTATCGCGTCAATTTGACGAGCAACCTCTGGCCTGTATTAATCTTGCACGCAGATCTTCTCTTTCCCTTTTAAATCAAATTAGTGCTTTTCATGAAAGGGATATGGGGTCTCGCACAATGCATAGAAAAAAAGAAAAATAAAAACTTAAGATTAGAAGGAAAAAAGAAAAAGAAAAACTAAGTCAAAGCGACACGCGTTTTCAAAAACCTCTTCAACTTCATCCTCCTTACAATAAGTTGGTATTGTCTTCTTCTGAAAGATCACCGCGTGACTCCTTAGCACAACATTTACGGCCACTGTTAGCATAAATATTTGTTCAACAATGGTTACCGATTGCCCATTTTGATTTTTTGATCTGAGTTAACAAAACAATCAGAAACCGTATAATCCACGCATTCGTTGGGTATGTGCCGCTGGCTTCTCAGAACCCTACCTAATACTAAACCCCATCTTGGACACTTTTGAGAAAATGTAACATCTTTTAAGCCACGAATCTTCCCATTTTTTTTAAATCCGTAATTACCAGAAATTTCGTAACCTCAAAATCCCGAAAATGTGCGATCCATTCGGGTAAGTCTATTTAAAATGCACCTTCCTTTTAGTCAATTCAGTAGTGAAAAATGCGACGCCATTCAGAATTAAGCAAGGAGCTGTAATCGGAGACTAAATCTATTGTTTAGTTGTCTCGCTGGGGTCCAGATTTTAGTCCCAGCCCACCTCCTCCACTATACATATTTTCCTTTTTCCTCGGTTGACACATTCGTACATAACTTGAACATAATAACAAAGGGGTGGCGAAAGGTCCTTCAAAAACTCTGGGTCTCGCAAAATTTTAGTCGAGTTTCGTAGGTCTCGCAGTCTCGTTTTTTCAGCGGTTACGTGCGTCTCGCAGACTCGTGTTTTATACGAAGGTGTCTTGGAGTCTCGATTTTTTGCAAGGCTAAGGGTCTCGAAGTCCCGATTCGTTTGTTTGTTTCCTTAAAGTGACGTCTTTTCGTCACTTGATATTGAATAAATTAAAGAAACTTTCAATTTCCGAGAAAAAGTCAATCCTAACTTCTCCTAATTCTCTGAACTCAACAAAAAGCTAGAAAACTTATCGCAACGTCACTTTGGCGCCAGGAAGAAGGGAAAAACGATATTAATTTTTGGCTAAATGAACTAGAGAGTTTGGAAGTATACGTTAACGACAGGGATGCGCTAAACCACTAAGCTCTGAG